AGCGTCCGATTTATGACCTTCTCTTTGAGCAATATTATCAGGTTGCGTTATAGTAACGCTACCTTCAGTCACGTAAAATATAATGTCTTTATGCTTCAGTATATCAGCTGTAATCAGAAAATATTCAAAATATATTCTCTTATATCAGCTTTTTCTTCTTATATCATATTCTATCATATGTTCTCTTATATATATTAATTGGTAATATTATATTTACCAGGAAAACTCGACAATTGCAAATCCAACGTCACCAAAAATTTCGCAACAGACAAAGAACTTAAGAATGGACCCAGTCTACAAGTGATTTGTACGCATTCAATTGCATTACTTGTACAATTAATATAGAGCGTTCTGTTTTCAGATGGCACATTCATCTGCGTGTTTTCTTCTATACTGAATTTCGCGTGCGTGTTATTACTCGCGACGCTCGATGAATTCACAATTACATCATTCATGGATACGATCTTGTTAGATGTAAGGGAAAGTACTTCTGTTTGATTTGAGTCACTGCAATAAAATTGATATCCGTCCATTCTGCCGATAGTATCGTTGATACTGATGATCATTACGTCCTTGGCATCGGGTCGGCGGAGGTGCGTCGGAATTTTCACAGTCAATATTACTTCTTCAATAGGACTAGCGCCGAATTTTTGCACCTCATAGAAATGTTGAAACCTGATATCGTTCAACGGTTTCTTCTCGTCCTCGCGTAGATATGAGTATAAGTTCTCCTGTGCTTTCCTAATGAAAACAATAATGAAAATAGAAAATTGTGATACATACAAAGTATTTTAGAACTTTTGGGACAAGCTTAGAGAGATGAATGATCTCATCAGCTTTTGTTAAGGAACTTATGTCCTCCGACACATTTTCAAGGAGCATCTGGTCGAGCTGATAATAATATTAGTTTACGTCCTTTGATTTTATTTTCGTAAAAAGACAACAAATAAGCAAAAACGTAGACTGATGTTGCGTGCAATGCGATCGATTGCGTACCTCACAGTCGAGTAAGGACACATAACTCCTTAAAAATGCATCAGAAAGAGAAAGAGAGAAAGAGAATATAGATTTCTTAATAAAAGTTGATTCTTTTGATGAGATCCTCTTTTTTCTAATGATCTTGAATTATTGTCATCGAGACCAACCCGGCAATTGCTATGTCGATGTCCGCGTCAAAATACACAGTAATGGTATAACTATTGTCATCCCAATTCGCCTCATCGCTTTGAGTAGTAATATTCGCTTGTATTTCCACCTTCTTAACATCATATCTCACCATACTCATGTCCAGTTGCAGTGTTAATGTTTTCTGAAAGACAATGAGTTGAGTCATCATTTATTCATCAATAAAGTCTATTCATGTACGTCAGAAGATCATCATACATTCGTTCTAAGAGGATTGCCGATATCGCAGATTACATCCAACGTGTTGCTCACGCGAGGATCCTCCGTACACTCTGGCGGGATACTCGCTAACGTTAAAACCTCGGTGAAGATGCGTACTCTGGTCTGGTATGCCGGTTCACCGCGATTGTAAGCGTCAACGCGGAGAATAATTATCGGCACAGAACCAACGATGTACCTGTTGCCTAAAGTTGAATCAGTAGACAATGTCACACCGAGATTGGACACACATATGTTGTCCTCGCCACAATCTACAGAGAATGGCAGCTTTATAAGATCCTCGATCTTTGAACGGAGTTTGTTTATCACGACGCAAGATGCGCATAATGAGCTTTCGTTTCTTGCATGAAGATCATTTTCTAGCTGCATAGACACCGATATTTCAAGCGGATCTATTACATTTTGAATATTCTCCTAAAATACAAAAATGTGAATTCAGTGTGCCTAAAAGCTCAATATTAGTAGACATAAAAATGTATGCACCATTAGATGTATTTCAAGTAGATGACTTGTAATCGTAGCTTTAAACAGCGTGTAATGCAATCTGTAAGTCTGTAGTCCGTCGTTACTTTTCTGTGCTCGATACGTAGCCCTGCCATGCAATGGATCGATCTTCAGAACTGCAGTGACTCCTAGAGTGATAGACAAAAAATTTGACGCTGATAGAGAAAAGCCGGATATGTTGTATAATTTGATAAATACATAATTTTAAAAAAATGACTCATAAATCAACAAATATATATAGGATAAAGAATTATATACGTCGGTTGCTTACGTAGATATTCAGGTACGTATATGCCATCGTAAGACATCCAGAGATCAATTTTGAAGGTCGTTGTGTTTCTCAATAATTTAATCTTTTGCAGGTACGTCAATGTCACGTTTACCGTGACGACTGGTGCGGATCTTAGTAGGACCACTTCGCCGGATAGATACGCACCCACAGCGATATCGGAATGATTATCATGATTCACATCTCGAGGTTCCGAGATAGAGATACCGAATCCCCGTATCGTCGGCGAAAATCGCGAGCCGACTAGTCTCTGACTATATTTCCGAGAAACGCCGTCTCTGTTTCCGTTGAATATGTACACCGCACCGCCGCTCTCTTCCTCATAGGGTGCACCCACAGCGATGTCACCGTAGCCATCATAATCTATGTCACCCAGACACATCACGGTGGATCCGAATTTACCTCCGACAATCTCGCCTTCGAGCGTCTGCAGTTCTTCTAAATTGTTCTGAATTTTGCGCAAAATATAATTTTTAGAGAGCTAAATATGTTCTTTTAGTTTTCAATTATAAAGAATATTCAGATCTACTGATGAAGAAATTCTTTAAATGAATAGCTCCATTAGATATAGTGCTTTATAACGAATTTTTCCATGAAAATTTAATCGTTTATTATACAAAAAAATTATATGGATAACGTTGGAAGTTTAAAGCTATGCTGATGAAAGAAAAGTCACAAATTTTAATTTGAATAAAATTATTCTCTCATTAAATCTGTATATAAATAACCTCGTAAATAACATACATTGTGTCGCGCTGTAAAAATGTAGACATGACCCTCGTCCATGTCTCTGGACCATTGTGGTGCACCGACGATTAATTCCTGTCTACGGTCATTGTTGACATCGCATGACGTTAATGCAGCACCGAAGTACTCACCATATTGTTGACCGTACAGTATCGTTTTAATAAACATACGCTGATTAGTTTTAGGGGGAAAGGTAAACACGAGGACTTTTCCATACACATTAGCGGCTTGTGGCGCACTAGAAGCATACCAAACATCTTGCTCATTGAAGTAAGTACCCGCTGTGATAGCGTACCCTGAAAACCACCATGGATATATATATACATGAATCTGATTACAAGAAAAATACAGGAAGTGTACCAATCAGTGTCGGACATTAGACTTTGGCTTGGAAAAGTATATTTAAAATTTGTTATTTTTATAGTAAAATAAATATTTTTTTTAATGCAAATATTAATTCATATACATTTTTCCTATCTCGCTTTAAAATTTTTAATAATTAATTATAATAGCAAAGAAAAAAATTTCTGTTTTGAATAACTGACGTATGTTCGTCCATTGCTACGTTTATCTCGAAAGAAAAGTAGCAGAAATATATCTTTACCGAAGTAATTGTAACTATGAATCCGTGGCTCTCTAGCGAGCGAGGGAATTACCGTGCGCGAAAATGGACCGTTCATTGGAGCGACAGTTAATATCGCATCGCCTTTCCAATTGTAAACGCCTGGACTACCTATTGCGACATTCACTGTATATTGCGAGTTCATGTGTAAAGAGAAGCCGGCTTGTCCCACCCCATAGTTATAAATATTTATGTTGTTCTTGGTCGTGATTTGATTTCCAGAGTTCGAAAGAGGTAAGAGATGCTCCTCCGCTTGTCTCTCGAATGCATTAGCGCTACTAGCCAGTGTCGTGTAACAAATGCCATTCATATACCAATTCGGCTTGTTGTCATTTACAACATTATTTATCCATCGCGGTCCACAAACCTGTTACCAATAGAATCACTGATTGAACAGCAAGGAAGTATTTATATATTTCTTTAGCAAGTAGATAATTTTTAATTTATAGCGCATTTTATTTTATTCCCTACAGATTGCATACGTATTCCTAATATTTTAAGCTGAGCTAATAATAAATACTTGTAACGAAAAATAAATTTGTTCTTCATCTGAATTCTATAAACTTAATCACTTCAGACTCGTTTAACATTCAATTTAAATATGTTCGAAATGATCACACCTCTTGCCAAATATTTTTTTAATAAAAAAATCAATATTAACTTCATAAATCTAAAGTAAAAATCTCAAGTACTGTTCAATAATGATAACTGATCTCAAGTATCTCAAGTACTATTCAATAATGATAACTGATAAAAAATATGAGCAATAACGCACCATAACTCTGGCCTCCGTACTGTTCTGCACGGCAATGGTAGCACCAATCCAAGCATAATCCTTTATCTGATTGATCTGTCTCTTGTAAGGATGCGGACCGTTCCCAGTCTTATCAATCACCCACTCTTTGCATATACCATTCATCGCACACTTGAAGACCGTTCCCGGCTCTATCACGAACGGCAGTGCATTGGAGTTTGCTCGCGGGGCTCCGACGAGTAGTAAAGATTCATTCACACCCACGTACAGACCTACCGAAAAACCGAAGTAACTTCCACGTTCACCCGATACATGCACAGATGGATCTCTGAACACCTCGCCGTTGTGTGAATTAATATTGTATGCCGACGGATTGTGCTGCAGGATTGTCAAAATGAAAATTAAAATTTGTATACGAAAATACGTTGACCTGGTACATGCCCAAAACATTTTGGGCAATGTCAGTTCGAAGATTTCACGCGTTCGAAGGGAACCGTGTCTGTAAGAAAACTGAGGAGATGCGAGTTATTTTGCCGGCGGATGTGGTGAACACCGCAATGACATCACTTACATTAGTCAACGTTTATCTACATAAAACTCCGAGAAGTGGAAACGGAAGGAACCTGTTTTTCAATTGCAGACGACACACGTAATTGCAGAATAATAAATCTTTCACGCAAGGTTATTACGTTTTTCAGTTGCTTCTCGTTTATTCGTAATCAGTTAATAAAGATGTATATAAATGCAAGATTAAATAATGTAATATAGTTACAATAATTCTTCAAAGTTCAACACATAGGAAAAAAATGTATACCAATTTATTACTTTTAATTACTTTCCACCGCACAAACCATATCAACAATACACATTAGCGAGTTGCCGCATATACTTGAATGCTTAATGCGGATTGTGTTAATTCGCGTCTACAGTACAGTTTCTGTTTCATAATTTCTGTCTCGATTACATGATGCAATTTACATAGCCAGATCCGCAAAACATTCACCTCACAATAATGATCAAACTGGTTGAGAATTACCAAGCACTGACAGTCGCAATGGTATTACGCGGGACGATAGATGTAGGATTGGTACCAAACAACATTATAATTTCCGTCTATCTAATCAGTGACTTGATTTATGAATGAAATCGATAATATATAACCAACAATATATATTAAAGGATTTTAAAGAAAATTTCGAAAAATTGTAAGAAGGAAAGCACGATACATTCACGAGAGATGGGATTAAAGGCAGACGCGCAAGATTTAAAACATGATTTAAAAAAAAGGAATCGATCGCATGTTCGCGCGCGATCAACTTAGTGTTATAAAAATATACTTCAAGGAATCACAGATTACATTATGTACAAATGGAAAGGGAATGGGAGATCGAAGTAGAGCGCGTCAGGGAGAGGCGGGGATTTTGATAAGTAAACGTGAGCTCTTAATCGGAAGAATCACTCGTGGTCGAAACTTTTTGAGCTTGGGACGCAGATCGATTACGATAGCTCCTCCTCGCCAGCTCCTCTACCTTTTTCCGGAAACACTCTAGACGTTTCAGGTTCTGCTCGTCGGAGCTATCGTCCGCGCCTCTGTTGTTTCGCTCCTTACGTGTCTGTTCGCTGTTTTTTCCACCCGTAGATGAAAGTCCCGATTTAATACCGCTGTCAGGAGTACAAGGAACTTGAAGTGATTTGTTGCTCGGCGTTGACGGTCCGTCCTCACGACGGTCTTTACTAGAATTACCATTAACACAATTTCTTGGGCCAGGAGTTTTCTCTTCCTCTTCCGAATCGTCATCGAGTTTCTGTCGTTTACTTTGGCTCTTACCAGAGCCGTCGTTCGAGTGTCGAGAATTATTTTTGCACTTTCGATGCTTCCGTTTGTGCGCCTTCGCGGAGGTATCCGAATCAGTTTTAGAATGTTTTCGTTTACTGATACTGGCGACAATGTCCTCGTAAACGCAGCTACTGCTGCTGCTGTAGCTCGAGCTCTTGTCATCTTTCTCGATCGCGCTAGCGACGTATCGCGATCTCCGGAAAATCACCCCGGAACTAGTACTGGGTTGAGCCGCATCAACCGGTCGTTCGTCGTCACTGTCCGAATCACTATTGACTTTTAACACAGTACACTTTCGTCTGGTAGATAATCTTCTTCTGCTAGATAGTCTGGTATGTTTCCTCTTAACGCTCTTCGATTTGGATTTCGATTTGGATCTGCGTTTCAGATGAGCGTTGTCTCCCTCACTAGCGGAATCCGAGGGGGATCGTTCCATCGCGGCCATTCGCATGAGCTTCTTTCTGCGATTTGCGATAAGCCGAGTTATGCGATTTGGCGACTCTAACGGCCTTTCGGGAGCTACACCGCCTTCCGATGCCGTAGTATCTATGATGAAGAATAACGATATTTTACATTATTCTATTGAATCTGGAAAAGAATATAATTAAAAGTGAAGCAAAAATTTATCTCTTAAAATAATAAAACAAACAATATCTAAACATTACAAAGTAAAAAGTAGAAGATATATCTAATTAAATACGCAGGAAATATCCATTGTTCGAATAGAAAAATTAGAATTTTTTTAAATAAAAATTTAAATTTCTTATATCCGATTTTGTAATGAAATTTTGTGATATTTTTTATTTTGCTTCACGTAAATTATACCATCTTTTTAAATACAGAAAATTATTCTCAGTACCATCGCCTTCTGTCGCGCTATACGGTTCGCCCGTTGCTGGATTTATTTCAGAATCGCTGGGAGTATGAGGTGTTGGCACATCCTCGGAGCTCCAGCCTTCAATTTCGCGCTGAACGAGGGAATCGAAAAAGGCCATCATTCGTGGGTCTTCCTTAGTCGATTGATGACTGTAATCGTGCGTCATAAACTGTCCACTACGTAAAACCAGCCCTATATATTCATCGTGTGTGAATACTCGGCGTTGTTTCTCGCGCTTGCCAGCGTCTCTCTGAAAGAAAATAAAGGGAACGTTGATAGATAATGTCAAATCATAACGGTTGTTTGAAAACAACTATCATAAGCAGCAGTAATAGACTTTCTACAATAAGCAGTTAGTCACCATTTATATCATACTAATATAGTAAGTCAAAATTATAAATCATAAATCTTGAATCTTACATCCAGAAATCATATTAAATTATGCATCACAATATTTCAGTCAATCAAGAGAATGGCAAACAACAATACACATGATTGGTCAGTCATAACGTAATCTAAGTTATAATCGGCCACCTCCACGCAGTCAATGATTATTGATTTATTATTGCCTTATGACACATTACTGACTCGCTTATAACTTGCTCGACTTTTGATCTATTATTAACGACTTATCGTAGAAAATCCATTATTGACTTATGGAGCCATCTACAATAGGAATAATATTGCGCAGTACGCAATAAGAAATTCAATCGATTTTTTTCACATTTGACTGATTCGTAAATTTCTTACAATTTACTACATTATACTACTCCCACTTGTAGAGGGCCCTTTCTTATTACTTTAAAACACGCTACTGATTCGCTTATAACTCGTTCCTGACTTTTAATTTGCTACTAATGACTTATTGTAAAAAGTTCATAACCTTCAATCCTCCTAAACATCCGCTTCCAAATGAAAATGGACTCCAAATCTTAATAATCTTCTCGACGCCGGATGATGCAAGGATACAGCTTGTTTGATTGTATCGAACTTGATTAACGATCGATCTGTGACCACGCAACACCATGTGGGCGGATTCCACCCATGACTTGCCATCAGGGGGAGGAATTTTCCACATATACAGGTTGAAATCATCCGAACCTACAAATTCATTGCGTAAAATGTATATGTATCATCAATTAAAATTTCTTTGTATAATCATATGCTAAATACCTAGACATATATATGTATATATATATATATATATATTCAAAATATTTTTTTCAGACGTACATAGCAAATTTACATTTATATCAGTTATACTTGCCAGAAAGAACATATTCGTCATTCTCGCCGGCGAAACAGCAAGATTTCATGGTACAACTGTTATAATACCCCGTATGATCAAATTCGCATAAGTGCGTGGGAGAATCGACAGCATAAAGAACCGGTGGTAGTCTTCTTCGTAAGGCCAGCAATCGGTCACCCATCGAATTAAATCTGACATTCATACAACTCTGTTGCGGGCTTCCATAACACAGTACAGGCCTATAGATAAAACATGACGTTTAATGACTTCAAAAAATCAATGACTGAAAAATTGCGAATATATCAAACATTGCAACACATTTCCAATAACGTTTCATATAATGCTTAAGCATTGCCTACTTTAGAAAACACAATGGTTGAGTGAGCAATATATTTTTTCAGATTTTTCACAGACCTATAAAGATCTACTTCAATTACAGGCAACAATTATTGAACATTTGTTATTTATCAAATCACATTTTCGTACACTTACTCCAAAGGTTTTCGTATATCCCACATACTGACACCTTCTTTAGCGTTGGCAGTAGCAAGCAGTCTCGGATCCACGGGATTGAACATGACAGAGTGGAAGGCGCTTTTATATTGTGCCAAAGTTTCCATAGCATTGTTGGTACGTATATCATAAATGAGAACTCTCCCGTCGTCGCATGCGCTGGCGAAGACTTCGTCATTGTGCGGATGAATGGACAGCCCGTAGACAGGCTTTTCGTGCAGGAAGATGTTGAGGGATTCGCCCCTGCAACGTAAAAAATGGTGTCTCTTAATCTCCGCTGACTGTTAGTACGCATTCCACGCATTGGTCATGGAAGAAATGCCTTACGTGCGCAAATCGTGGACTATAACTTGATCGTCATTCCCGGCGGAGAATATCTTAGTCTTGCTGCTGTCGTAACCAAGACAAAATATATTGCTAACATGTTGTGATTTCATCACTGTGGGCCTGCCGAAATTATTTATCGCTTGCTCCACTCTCCATAATAGAACTCTTCTGTCGTCGCCCCCTGCGAAAATAGGACGTTACATGCCATTCACACGTGACTCATCTCTCTATTATTAGAATATATTTTCCAAATCTTTCTAATGTGGCATCGTGTCGAGCGGTGCTGTTTTGCGGAAACACGCACGCCCTTATCTCAAACTGAGAGAAAAGAGTGCAAGCATTTTCAACGTGAGAATCAATATTTCCGACATCAACGGATACTACGTATGTGCATCATCGTAAGAAATGGAAAAGAAGGACATAATAAATGTCATAAAATTGATCGAAAAATCGAAGTTGATCCAATTAAGATAGGATGACCAACGGTCGTCGAGGCGCTTGCGAACTTTTGAAGCGATGCAAAATAAAAATAAAAATAATGACAATAATAGCAGTTTGCTGCTTGAAAATTAGCATCGTTTCAAGTCCTAAACGAATTACGACATCGTAATGGTCGATCGAAGGGGACGAAAGTGCGAGTAATAGCGATCCTCTCTTTTCCTCCGCGAGGAGATCGAGGGAGAGGCGACGTGGAAAATCAAGTCGACAAGCGGACTCACCGGACACCAGCAGGTCGCCCTGGTTGGAGAACTCGATCGCGTTGACGCATCCGTAGTGGGACAGCAGGTCCTTTCTGTAGAGATTCTCGGCGTTTGCAAATCTGGCGTTGGTCAAACTCCGGCAGTAGTCGATCTTGTCGTCAATCTGTCGCGCGAGAACGTAGGACAGCGCGCTGCACTCGGACGGATGGGCGATCTCTCCGCCCCCGTCGCCACCCTCGCAGGG